CTTGCACAGCTCTTGCTGAAGCTGGATGATAGCTGTAGCTGTAGAAAAGAGACACCTTTTTAACCAGAGAGGCTGAAAAGCCGATGCTGCTGTGCTATCAGCACAGCTGGCTGTGGTAGCAGCCCTGTGGGCCTCTGGCAGGGCCCGGGCAGAGCTGCGGCTCAAGGGATGCCCCACACCTTCACAGGCAGCCCTTCTGCCGCGGGGAGCCCCAGCACATTTCACCCCTGCCCAAACGTTCCCAGGCAAAGAAACCCTAAATGGGTCACGGCGGTACCCACTCGCCCCTACCCTGTAATCCCAGCTTTCTACCAGAAGACCCTGAAACACAGCAAGCAATGACCTTGCAGCAGGATGGGTGGACACACGCTCTCACCGTGCTCCTGGAAGCACAGATGCATTTACACAGATGACGCCGACTGCAGGGGCATCAGACGGGTGCATAATCAAACTCTGCGATGCTTCTCTCGGATCCAGGCCCACCTCTTTATTTTCCAAAAACTGTTCCTCTTCTGCCCCAACATAAGCAAAAAGGCATCATTTGAACCATGAAATGCCCAGAACTTTTCTCCTCAAGCAAGGATTTATGGATAGTAATTTCTCTTGTTTATACAGAGATGCTGGCTGCCCAGTATTGCTTTTGGAAAGCTCGCAGCACATGCATTACAGGCTGTTGCTCCTCACATCCCTTGTTTTCCTCCAGGTGACTAGGGGATTTTGTTTTGGTTTTTATTGTACTTCAAGGCATCACAAAGCAGGGTAACATCACAGGGATGAAACTCCATGTCCTCAGCTGCTGGGAAGTTCCTACAGGATCTAAAGTGTGAAGGAGGCAGCCCAGGTTATCCTGACCCAGCAGCTGGAAGGCAATGCTGTTCTGTTGCTTGCAATGCTAAGGAGGAGTGTGGCTACAGCAGAGCAGGACTTTGACATGCAGTAAGGGGGCTCATGTCCAGGCGGCTGCTCCTCATGTGCAGTACTGATGGTGAATTACCTTTGCACTCCTGTAGAGCAACAATTTTGCCTGGCTACACTCAAGCATAGAAAAAGCCAGATGCCGAAAGTCCATCTGCTCAGTGTGTTTCAGGTGACTATGTGCTTTGGTGAAGCTGAACAGAAGTGGATACACACCAAAAACAACAAACCAAGTATTTGGGAGAGTGAACACAGGCTGAACTAAGCGGAGCAACAGTGCACAGGTTGCTGTGTCATCAGTTGCAACCACAGGGCAAAGCTTTGAGGAAGACAAATGCCTGAAGTTTAAATGAGAACCAGAAGAAACACTGCTCTGTGTACAAAGAAAGTTCCTTCTGCTACTCATTAAGTTCTTGGGATGACACAGGGTCACCCATCCAGCTGCAAACCCATTTTCATTTGGTGATACAAGCTCCAGTTTGACCATACCAGCTAGAGGCAAGGACCAGGGAAGAGTCCCCATTGCACCACCACTCCCCTGCCAACACCATTCCAGACCAATCCAAAACAGTCCCCCAAGCAGAGTGAGCCCCACTCAGAGGCCAGCCCTTCTGGTCTGGTCCAAAAATAGCATGATGCATAAGGAACCAAAATGCATGGCTTCATTCTGACATGAGCCTGAAAAACCTGTTCATGGGAAGCACATGGACGTAGCAGACAAATTCAATTCATTTGCAGTTTCCCTAACCAGCACTGTATTTTAATCATAAATGTTCCAGGGCCAGCCTAAACATCTCCCATCATTTCAGACTGGCACTTCATCTTGGAAGTGCTGCAGCTTCTTCTAGAAGGAACACAACTCCATGCTCAAGCAGGGGAAGAAAGCACCTTGGCTAGGGGCTGACCGAAGAATAAGGGAGGCAAGCCTCAACATTGCATTTATGTTTCTGCAGCATACAGCATCCGTGAGGGCTGAGCACATTACATTTCATCTTTGAACTGTGGGGCTCATGTTGAGCATTACCCTCATCTGGGGGTCATTAGCTGGTGTATTTAAACCAACCTCATGTAAACATAACACTCTAGCCTCAGCCCAGCTTGTTTGCACAGGTAAGATTAGAGTCTCTTACATGCCAAATCACAGGAACTTCTCTCCATGTATCTGAAAGATAGGGGTACTCCAGTGCATTTGCTTCTTACCACATTATTTTAGTGGAAAATTTAATCCCATTAAGCACACAATTTGATTTACTGAATCCTGGCATAGTCAGATTTCTATACAAACACTGCCTTGGTACCAAACAAGTTCAGAATCACACTTAGAAACAGCATCTCCCCCTCTGACCTGCAAGCTGTAGCACACAGCCATTGGTGTGTGGCAAGGCACAACTGGCTACCTAAGAAGAGCTGACCTCTAAACCCAAAACAGCCAAAGCAGGCAACCCCAGGTAGCTTGGCTGAGACCCTAACAGCACAAAGCACGGCAAGACCTGTCTTCACACTTGCTACTCAGGGCATGGTGAACACTGAGAACATGCACAGGTACTGCATTTGTACTAAGAGCAACTAAGAACAGCCTCCGCTCGCCATGACTTCATGCTCTGTAACTTTAGGTAAGGGGTTAGAAATAGATTACAGATAAGTAATTATAGATATAAATACAGATTTTTTCAGGCCCACATAAGTTGGAGCACCTTTCAGGCTGTAGCCTTTGACACAGCAATAAGCAACTGTAGGAAGATGGCAAAGATGCTACCCCTCACTAAGTCAGGCTTACAGTCCCATAGGGCATGCTCTGAAGTCAGCCCCACACATGAAGCACAGGTATCTGCAGGTTCACAGAACAGCCTCAGCTGATGGACATGACTCTCTTCAGATATCTGCATTAGCCCTGCAAGTCAGCACACCTCAGACTGAAACACAATGACTGGCCATTATCTGGAAGGTTGACCATCCAACCCGCTTTGGCAGCAAGAACAAAGTCAGTATGTTTGGAAAGCATTTTCAAACTTTATTTACAACTGTCACAGTGACAAAAATGTAGTTTGAAAAAAATGCTAGCTTCTCCCTGAGGCTCAAAAAAGAATTACAGAAATATAGAATGTATATCATACAACAGGAGGAGTTTTACTGGAGTGCTTTGTTCTTTAGATACGTTCAACAACAAATAGAAATATACACAATACTTCCAAAAAAAGGATGCAGACAGAAATACGCAAGTCTTTAGGGCAGACAGCAGGTCTGAAGTCCAAGGATTGACATCTCATTGCTGCCCACATGATAGTATTTTTGATATACAGCTTTGACTTGGTGGTACAGACAGTAGAGACCAATAGAGTAACACTTAGGAATAAGACAACTGGCTGGTATGCAGGTATACAAGCTCATTCCAGTAAGACAGCAAGACTAGAACAAGTGTTACAGATACAACAGCTGAATCCATCGCTAGAGAAAATGGTATCACCACATCATGACTGTTTGGTGATCAACTGTCCACCAAGACAGGCAGGGAGCATGTATAACCAGGTCTGCGCTGCTGGACCAGAGACCAGTCGCAGTGTAGGAACACTGAGTTTCTCCTGCTTTGTGCTAACTCATCTCCAAACTCCTATTTGTCTGAAACAGTTATGCAGAGCTGATAAATTATTGCCATTATGTTTAAACACAAGCAAGACAAGAAAAAAACCCCCCTGCCAATATGTTAAAAGCAGTTCCCAACCCCCACCAGCATTAAACTACTCATGAGGTATTAAAAATACAAATACACACATGTCCAAATATATTTTAAAAATGGAACCAGTTATAAGCAAAGGGGGGTGGCATTGGGATTATTATGAAAGTTTGGTTAAGGCCTTGACATTTCTTTTTCTCTCCCATGACCCCAGATTTGGTTTAGATGGTAACTCTTCTCACCCTATCCCAAGACCCAACTGGCTCCCAAGCTGGTCCCCAAAGCTGCGAGATCATCACTTTCCAGGAAAGCAGTGGGTTACCCTGTCTGGCAGCAGACTGGCGTCCTCCTTGGAGACAGATTACTTCTCCTTAGAGCAGGATATGGTGAAGAGACTTTTCAAGCCAGTCCGCGGTTTGTTAAACACCTATGAATGTTTCACCCATGCTACATGGCAGGAACACATCTTGTCTGAGGACACCCAGGCTAATTCTCTCCCAACAGAGCCCCCCTGTCCTGCAAACCCCCCCTCCCCTCTCCTGCTGGTGATCCACACTAGATCTGGTGTTTCGTCTTCGGATTACCTCCAGGTCTAGCAGTACAACCCACCATGCACACCCCTACCAGCCTGTCCTGCACTGAGGAGGCCCTGCAGTGCAAGGCTGGAGGACATCCCCCACACCAGCCCTCACGAGGCCATTGACCAGCAAGTTGGAAACAGGAAACCCTAACAGCCTCAAGGACAACAAGGTAAGGAGGCCTAATCCCCACCCTCCAGCTTTGGGCACTGTACAAAACGAGACCAACCACAGCAGCCTCAGCAAATAGGAGAGAAAAATCCGAGGTGTTCAAACCTACGTGAGCTCTTGCTGCAGACAGAAGCATCTTTACATCCGATGCACATTACCTCACGCTAACCACCTGCAAGATGAACTAGGGCCTCGCAGTAGAGATGACAAGCAGCAGTCTAACATTATCCTGCAAATACAGCTGTTCAGCACTGAAGAGTCTAAAGGCAAACAGAGGAGGGGAAAACGGCTTTGGGAAAAGTGGCTGGAAAACAGGCTCGACAGCAAGAGCAAGAAACCCAACTACTCCTACGGATGCTCACATTACCCTAGGAGGTGCCAAACTGGGGAGAGCTACAGACCCCTCGCCAGTAGCCATGCTTCGCTACAGACACCCTTCCACCCCCCGACACACAAAATGGAAGCTGTAGGAAAGGCAAATCTGAGAGATGACAGCTCTGTTCTCATGCTTTTAGCTGGAGGCAGCTCCCAGCCAAATGCTGCAGGCTCTGACTTTCCTCCCCCTCCCCGAGCTCCCCCCTCCAGCGGTCCTCGCATGGTCACCCTCTGCCATGTGCTTGGAATTTCACTGCTGCCTCTGCCTCGGAAAAATATAGATAGCAATCTCGAGAACAGCAAACATTTCTCTGCGTTACTTCCTTCCTTCCTCAGGAGGTCTGGTGACACCGAGGGCTTCAGTTCTCGACACAGAGAATACAAAAAAACTAAGATCTTGCAGGTGCAAAATTGAACTTGTCTTTTTCTTTAAAAAGACTTTCAAAAGAAGTGTGGCTCTTCCTTCAGAAGGGTGCAGTCCCTTGCCTTTCCTCAGATGCCATTTATTGCTCCTTGTTGTCCTTCTTTACATCTTCACAGTTTTCTTCCTCTTCTTCCTCCTCCTCCTCCTGCACGAGGAACTCTTCCGGTGGCCATCTCAGCTCACCACTCTCCACATCACCCTCCGTCGGTTCCACCACGATTGAGGGCAGGCGATCCTTCAGCTTGCAGTAACGGTCGAAGTCTGAAGGATCAGGGAAGATCTGAAAGAGCCAAGAAACAGCCTGTGAGAGGTGCTATGTCTAAGCAGTCTTAGTCAAAACCCAACTCTCCAGACACTCAAGTCTACAGGGCATACTAGTTTGGACACAGAGTAAACCACCAAGTGGTGGAAAGACTCTTGAACTCATAAATAAGCTTCTCTAATCTGAGTATTGGAAAGGAGCACTGCCCAAGCAGCTCCCGAAGCACACACTTGTCTGGAGAGCGCTCAAACGGGCATCTGCCCTTTTGGATATTTATCCAAACACCTGGCCCTCACCACCACTGCTTTTGTATTCATGGTCATAAGTTTGCACACTGAGCTATCTTGATCAGAGAATCTGAGATCTCATTTCCTGCTGCTGGTCAAGATACACATGACAACAGGCTTGTGCTCCAGGCTCTGCTGCTAGAAGGAAAAGGAGGTACATGGCAACCCAGCACAAGAGCAGTCCAGACCCTTCCAGCAAGGGCTTGCATCTGGTGTTGCTCCAGGGCCACAGCACCAGACCAAAAGGGAAGTTCAGCTGCATTTTAGAGATAATTTTGGCAGTGTTCTGCATGCTACAGCTACCATAGAGCAGCAGTGAAAGGAAGGGTTGGAGGCTGGACCATGTATCTTAGGGCAGGAGGTAACCACAGCATAGCATAGCCAGCAATTACACACCATACTTGTGCAAGTAATATGAGGACCCCCTTATCTCCAGGCTCCCAAGGTGCACAGAGCAGTACCTTACCCCTTACCTCCCATCCACAGGTTGGGTACACAAGCTCATGCACTGCAGCAGCACCAGGGCCCAAATTCCCCAGCAGTGCCATTAGGATGCACGCTTTAATTCTACAAGGAACCGAGGCAAGGACTCAGGTAAAGGAAAAACTGCCAGTGCAATGGTAGCAGGAGTTTGCATGACTGAATTGCAGGTAGACCAGAAAAGGCTGCTGTTACTTATAGGGATGCCCAGCTAGGGGAACAGCTTCAAACCCCAGCTCACCCAGAAGAGAACTGCTGGGTGACAAGAACCAGTTGCCGCATCAGATCCCCTGTTTGGTAACCAGAAGATTAAACAAATACCACCTCTATTTCACACAATTTCAGGGTGCCCGTTTCACATTACAGTTGCATTTAACCCCCCCCAAAGAAGGCAATCACAAAATGCATTTCCCACCCCACCCCCACAGGTTGCAGAAGAGGTGAGGAGTCAAGCACTGTAGCTTTCTTTGACCACCAGCCGCATTCAAGCAAGCCATCTGAGGAGCCTTCCAAGGGAACAGCACTGCCAGCCTCAGACAGGCACACTGCTCACAGGTCCCTCAGTTCAAGAGCAAAATCTCATCTACTTTGTTCTTTGTGGTTCCAGTTACAAAAGCACATTCCCCATCCAGAAGCCCCAAGCACTAACCACAAAGCATGATACTCCTCATGCCAATCATGCAGCTATCCACCACCTTGGGAAGACCTGGCCCAAGCTGTGAAGTGAAGCATCATCCTATCAACTTGTTCTTCAGCCCAGCAACTATGAACCACACCACTGCCTCCTTGTCAATATTCAGTATTCTACTGTTCAGCCACATTTCTCCCTCACATCCAATGCTTTGCAGCAATGAGGTTCCCAACCCGAGAAAGCCATCAGGTTGCTACTTAATGCAAAGTCAGGCAAGATAACTTTGGGAGTGGGTGCTCAGGCAAGCAACTCATTGCGAAGGTAATGCACAACAGGAGAGCTCTTTGCAGACTGTCCTGGGGACAGTGGTGCAGGAGCCCAGCTCCCACCATGGCACCCACCATCCATACGCTTTTCAAGTGCACAGCAGCAAGGTCTTTGAACACAGCCACATTAACATGGACACTGCAGTATGAGCTACTTGCTATTAGTCACTCCTGGCACAAGTGAGACAGTTTCTTGGAGCTTTGTGGCTTCTCCTTGGCCAAACAAAGGCAGTTTCAGACACACGATGCATTACTGGTAGTAGTCAGCGGCTCTTAAGCATCAACTCATTATCTAAATTCAAGATAGGAAAAAAAATACCCTTGACATTACACGGTTTAGAAGGCTGCAATGGAAAAAGAAGTGTGGTTCAAGAGGTTACATAAGCTGATAAGGTCATGAAAATAGCCTCCTGTGCAAGAAAAATAACAGTATAATAATTAAACTAACCTTTGGCTGCTATCATTTTAAGCACATTAGGTCAAATTGGACCAATTTATTTGAAAATAGCCTGCCAGGTTTTTTTTCCAGAAACTAAGTAGTAGTCATTTCCTTATAAACAAATATCCCCAAAACGTGGTGTGCAGCTTTTTATTAAAAAAACCCTAGCACAATCTTATCTCAAACAGCTGCAGGACAGGCTGAGCCCAAGAAGGTCAGGATTTTTTCCACTAAGTCATGCTTTTTAATCGTCGAGGCAGCATGAAGTGAGATGTTGCAACTGTACTTTGAAGGGGTGTGGACAGTCAATGGAAAAAATACACAAAGGCAGATTTCCTCGCACGTGATGAGCGGGGTGGCACAGCAGGCCAAGCACACAGACTGAAGGAAAAAGGATTTCAGATTTAAGACACTGTTTGCACATCTGGGGAAGACAGGCGAAGAAGATACCCCCAAGCAGCCCCCCCAGAATAAGCTGTGTTGCCAAGTTCTTTGTAAAAAGATAAACAAGCACCAGCTTTCTGCTGTCCCACAACAGTAGCGCCATACTGCATTTGTCAGTCCCCTATGCCTAATCTGGTCCCACTCCAGATTTAGACAATGGGAAGAAAAAAACAACTCTGAAACTTGCAGCAGGGTCCCCACAGGGAATACAGCAGCTCAGCTCTGACCTGCAAGCTCTGCAGCCTTTTGCACAGCAGCCAGGGCAGCTTGTCTAGCAGAACCTGCCTACGAGCCCTTCAGCTCACGTTACTCAGCTCGGGCATGGGGGAGGAAGACTCTGCACCTCCCCAACACCCAGAAAGTACAGCAGCAACAGGTTAACTCCTCCCCCTCATTTATCAGAGGGAGCCACCTTGCACACAGCCAAAGCAGATGCCTACTTCAGGCTGATCTGGTCACTTGATGAGGGACAAGAGACAACCACCAACTGGTTGTGAAGGCAATCTAAAATCAAGTTTAGTAGCAATTTAAAGGTATCTTCCTCCCCCTCCCTTGTACGATACAGCACGAGGGGCTGCAACCGTTTTTGCGGAGTCCCCACTTCTGTAGCTGAGACCCAGCTCCTGGCCCATGGAAAGACACAACCAACACCTTCAGAAGCCACAGAGGACACATAATTGCTTATTGCACTACTCAACACAGCTTCTCACCCACAGCAAGGCTGGTTTTGGCAGGCCTCTCCAGATTCTGTTCTGGGAACTGCTCTCCTCACAGGCTGATCCAGGTCACATACAAATCAACCGAACTCCTGCCTTGCAGCTGGACAGGGCAGTGAAAAGCAGAACTTGAAAGCTTGAAATGATTTTAGAAAGATTACGTTTGCCTCCGTTTCGGATGATCTAGTTCTAGTATCCTTGAATGAAGCCTTGGCAACAAGAATGGAAAGTTTTCATTGCCCTAGGGAGGCTCATACCCTCTCTCAGCATTCACAGCAATGGAGAAACACCAAAAGCAGGGGAGATGTCAGACAATTAAGAGAATTGGCTCAGAGCTACCATAATCCAAGTGACACTTGTAAATTTAAAACAACTTCCACATGTGTACTCCATACCAACACCCACAGTTAAAAATGTTTGTCTCGCCTCCCATGAGGCTGAAAACTATTTCAATTATATTACCAGGAGACTAAGGTAAGGAGATTTTTTCAAACTGAGTTCCTGTTTTGGGGAAAAGGCTTTGCTCCATTGTACTACTATACAAGACTTTGCAGAGAGGCATACTACTTCAGGTATAGGATACACCCCTGATGTACACATATCACTCATTCTCCCAGCACTAAAAAGCTAAGTTTCGTGCCTCTTCAGCAGTATCAAGTCAATATTCCAAATCCCAAATCAGCCTTTAAGTTCTCAAAATGAAACTTCACTGCCATGGAAAAGCATGGCAAGCTCATTTCAGGAAATATTTAACTAATCTCTCACTGTCCTCTTTGGAAGAATTTTTCAGCTATACGAAGCAGTGCTAATACATACATTTAGTCATACAGTAGTCATGACTTGAAACCAGCCAAGATCCATCTAGTATGCACACGGCAGCCTGTGACTCAGGTTTATGAATTATGGCAACTCCCCAGTCACGGACAGATTGCCCTATATTGGGGGACAGTGGCTGGGAAACTTCATACATCATGACAATTTTCCAGCGTAACAAGGCAGCAAGTAGGGAGGAAAAACATGAACTGAGATGTTCTGATTAACTGCCATCTTCAGTTTGCATTTCAGTGGAACACTATTTTTGCACAGCATAGCTGCAAACATGATTAGTTTTGGCTCTGTTTATCCCATATCCTGCCTCTGCTTTCATTTAAGGTCCCAGGACCTGGAATACACATTGACTCAGCCTACTGATCTTGTCTAGTAACCGTGCATCAGATGTGCTACGTGAACAAGTTATCCTAAACTCGCTTGCTATCACCACCTTTTCACAGCCCCAGCCTTAAGACCTTCCACAGTAGTGAGCACCAGCTCTAAAACAGCGCTTCCCCTGCACAGAGGCTGCACAGACAAGAAGCACCTTACAGGCAAACAAGACAATGATAGATGAAGCTCAGTTTCCACCCTTTGCTATCAGCCCCTAGGTCACTAACATGCTGGTCCCCCAGTTCAGATGAGGAGATGCAGATGATGCAGCCCAAACCCCTCAGCACCGAGCAGCACAGCTCCCTGAGAAAGTCAGTGCTTCACTGGTGCTGGTGAAGAAGTGTTGGGGGAGTAATTTTGGGTGAATGCAACAAGACAGACAACCCAAAGTTTCACCATAGACACTGGATGGAGCGTTAAGCCTGTTTACCTAGATTCAGTCAGTCTGACATGATTCACAGCTAGTTGTGGCTCCGATTAACCTAGACAGATCCCAGCATGATGCGATCATGACTTAAAGAGCTCAGGCTCCCCATGACAACCAAACCCCAGCTGATGGCATGAGGCAAGCTCAGCCTCCACGTGCCAATCTCCTAAAAGGGAGCCTGAGGTCCCGCAGGACCAGCGAGCCAGCCAGCCGGTCTGCAGCAAAGTAGCACGCTCAACTCAGGACACAGCATTTGCTCAAAATAAACACTTTGGGCATCAAAGTGTTTTCAGTCATGCTCAAACCCTGCTCCACTTCCAAGAAGCAAGGCGCAATTCAGGTCGAGGCACTGTTTTGACAACAGCTCCGTGAAATGATTAATTCGGCCTCAGTTTCAGTAGCATCGTTTCGTGCTGCTGTGAGACGGCATCAGAGGACAAGCTGGCAGAGTGCTGATGAGGCTTTTTGGAGAATGGGTATACCTAGGGGCCGGAAAATAGCAAATGGTACATTAGCTCCGACTGGCAGTGAAACAGGCCCAGCTCGCCAGAGACTGCCAGGCAGGAAGCCCACGAAGCCCTCCATAGGCACATCTGCTTGTAGCAGGGGCATCTCGAGCCATCGGCTGCATTTCAAAGAATTTTTTTTGTTTAGTAAGTCCCATGGGAATTATGGGACATCTATTAAAGATCCAGAAATAGCTTTCCACTGCAGGCACAAGACCCAGCATGACATCATCTCTTCAGCTGCATCTTCTGTTTTGTCTATGCCACCCTGTTCTGAGACTCATGCCCCAATTTCTCCATTCACTCTGCTCAGGCCCTTTAAATCTGTTGGCTGAACTACCTTCAGGGGGCTCAGAGAGCAGCTTTACATCGCAAATACAGTAATAAAACTGCTTGACACAAAGGTTTTGAAAGTAGCATGTTAGCTCACAAGCATTTCACTTATTAACTGGAAATACGCATTTCTATGCTGAGAAAGCACATTTTGCAAGTGAAACTGTACACATTACTAAACCTACACAGGCAGTTCAGTTATCACCGATACAACTTCTGAGGTCTGAGTTGCCACCTCATTGCTTAAAGACCAGTGATGATGATGATGGCCAGCCCACCAAAGGCCAGGAAGCTACACCGAGGGGGTGCACACCTTCAGCTGATGTCTACAGACACTCCCGAGCATGAGCAGAGGCAAGGGGGTGGAGGAGGCAGAAAGAAAAAGTCAACAAGCTAAGTTCCCTGCTCAACCAGAGAGACAGACAGGAGCCATGAAGTTCAGTGAACTCCAGCAGACAGAGGAATCAGACTGCTGAAGTTTATACTCTGTATGAGTTTATTTGCTTCCTCAGTTTACTTCCAAGTAAAGGCAAGAATACTTTGAAAGAGCACTCTTGGTCAGACAAGACTGTCTGCAGCAGATACTGATGGGCTTTACACTTCCAGCAAAGCTGCTGTACCATCTCCTCTGGTCCAGAAAGTCTCATGTCCGCACTTTGTGGCAGCAGCAGCAGCAGCCGCCGCCCCTAGGCTCCCAGTTCGGATCCTGTGGCTCAGCCCCGCACTTTGTGCCGGCAGCAGCAGCAGCCGCCGCCCCCAGGCTCCCAGTTCGGATCCTGTGGACCAATTCCCAGGCAGTCCCTGCACCACACAGCCCAAAGGGGGACACTTTGAACCTCATTTTCAGGTTATCTGTACAGTAAAACCAATACTGCTACTAGAACAAGAGAAACTTTTGAAAATAAAAGCTTGCCTCCGCCAGTGCTGGCTCCGCTTTCCCCCCCTCCCCCTTCTCATAGCCAGCCAAGGGCTGCTACGTCGCGAGTGCCCAACTCTGCAGATGAGTGGAGGAAGATGTTGCAGCTTAGAACAACAAGCCTCAGTGTAGGAGCGGTCATGCTCCATTAGCCCTGTCTGGTTTTAAGTTATTGCACTACAGCCCTCAGACTAGCATACAATTTTCCATGTACCAAACTCTCCATCAGCAAGACGAAGCACTGAAGTCTGAGGTAGAACAAGGAGTTCATGGTGTGATTACATCAGATTTGTCCTTGCTGTTTCAATCTGACTTTTCAACTCTAAAGGATGCTTTCAACTTACCCTGCTGTACGCTGTGACATTCTCAGCCTAGCAACCAGAGGCGGAAGGCTTGAGCCTGCTCCCCAATCCTCTTTATACTAACCTGATTTAGAGGCAGACCCCATACACAGCCCACACACCGCTAGTGGAGGATCCTTCAACATCTCAACCCCTTCTGCCACTAGTTTAGCTTGCAAAGTGAAATACCAGCAGACATTTCCCACCTTTGCAGGCATTTGAAAAAGTCATCTACGACTAGACCTCTACAGAGGAGATCCAGGATGCATGAGCCCTGCATAGATATGAGTCGTCAGCATTTATGACTCACACACCTTCAGGTTCAGATGATCCACTCAAAACTGAACAGGCCTGTTCACCAGTTGGCCCAAGCAGACTTATCAAGGTCATTAGCACTTGGGGAAAAACCTCACTGAAGCAATCGTTAGAACAAGCAGAGCACCTAGATTCTGCCTCTCACTGGAAAATTTGGATATGTAAATAGAGGCATTTGACCTGACTGGGTTAAGCCTCTTCATATGGTGACCCACAAAGACAACTGAACATCCCACACAGGCTAGACTGCTTCAGGTTTGTAACCAATCATTCTCATTGCTGTACACTCCCTCTACAGGAGGGGAAAGAGAGGCCACATGCTTTCCACTAAGTCAAGCACCGAAGCACAGCACGGCTATTTCCACATGCAGGCAGTAAACCAAACAACTTGTACTATCCAGATCCAGAATTCTGACCAAAAAGCTCAATGCATCCCCTTCTCTTCCCATGGCTTTGGCTCCTGCTAGAAGCCTCAGCCATGGCCCAAACTTCGCTTGATTTCACACTTCATTGCGCTGTTACTGCCTTGTAGCTCAGTTTTCAGATGTAAACATGCAAGCATACAGCAGCACACCTCATTTGAATGCACGCTTAGAGCAACTGCCTCTGTGCAGGTTGTGTAACATCTGCAAAGGAAGAACCCTGCATCAGGATCTGCCAGCAAGAGTGACTCGATGCACAGACCAGATGTAGGTCACGTGCATGCACTCAGCACCTGTGTTAAATCTGATCAACAAGTCTCCTGGAAGAGTACGAAAACACAGATCTAGTAGGCCGAAATGGACAACTCGCCCTTTAATTAAGTATAAACTAAGAAATGAAAGGGATATTGAGACTAAAGGATTACGGCTCAGGCCAGTTTCTGAGACTATCTCTTCGCCACAGTCATTGATCTAGAGGTTAACAGCTAATTACATTGTTCTCAACTTTCAGAATCAATGCAGCTCGTGTCTTCAGGTACTGGTATCTCCAGCAACGTTTCAAGGCTGGTTTAGGCTGTCCCCGGCCTCACTGAATCTTACTGAGACCGAATCTTACAGAAGACTTAACTCTCTCAAATAGGCCCATCCATCAGGAAAACCAAGAAAAATATAAAAAAAATTCAGTGCCATACAAACACCTCCCTCCCGCTCTAGGCGGATCATTTCTATGCCACATTACAAAGAGGTCCCAGAGCCCCCTCAGCGTGGCGAGTGGGGCAAATCCTTCTCTAACTGACCTCCCCACCTCCCCCGAGCCCCCATGAATGCCGAATGAGGTGGGCACCGATCGCTTCAGAAACAACCAAGTCCTTTGCCAATTCGGTCTGATACCGAGCGATATTTCAGACAACCAGCTCCGGCCAAGCCAGCATTCCAGCCCATTGACTCGTCCTCACTACAGCAAGACCTGCTATTAGGTCAGGCTATGGAAAGGTACATCAGACCCAGCTTGCAGTCCAGCCCAGGCGATTCCATCGGGGATCTGGGCCCGGGCAGCCAGCAAAGCACTCACCTGGTAGGACAGGCCATCCTTGCGGGGGCTTAGCCCAATCTCATCCATAGCAGGGGTGTTCATCATCACTTCAGTCATTTCAGCTGATCTCAGGTAATCAGGGCTAGAAACAAGACACCGTTCGCATCACCTGAGGCTTCCAGGAGGGACAAGGAAAATTTAAGCAGCACCGGGAAAGAAAAGCAAGGCAGAGCAGGCTGCCGGCAGTCTATTTCTGGTCCCTTCCTGCCGGCCCCCCATCCCCCTTGGAAAGGGGTGGAAAGAGCTCAAGCGCCGGCGCTGCACCCCCTGTCCCCCGG